AATTTCTTGCATAGTTCTGATTTACGCCTACGATTCGCCTCACTAGTTGAAGGTAGACTGCCAAGCAAAAATGCAGTTTTTTGTTGGACATTAACGAGATACAGAAACCAATGACATGCTTCATCGTCAAGAACTGGCATAAATATCTAGCAACGAAACACTCACTATATGTTATAAACAGCGAATACAAACAAATGCACTTTCAAAATTTAATGATATAGGGACATTGACTAGACTAACCTTCTGGCATGCACTGACATTCGGCATAAAGTCCACGCCATCATTCATCAACTTGTTACGAATTTGTCTGGTCTTCATGTTAGCGCGTACCATTTTCTGCACCATGTTTTAGTTGAGATGAATTGACATGGTACAATATAAATAACTAGGTTATGACAAATAATTTGACATTACGGCTCTTACCGAAAACATATTTGGCAAATACCACACATTTGGCTCTTTCACATCATGTTTTTCAGACATTGTTAGTGCCCTTGCACGCAAATCCACTACCTACCATCCAACAATCAAACACAAAATCATCGTAAATCGTAACATAAATAGTGCATAATTCATACGAAAGTCATAGTAGTATAGTACTTACTGATGAGCAAACCCAGCTTTTCTCGCTAATGACCGAACTCAAATAATGTCGTTGCACGTTTTCAGAAAAAAAGTCTACAACGGTCAAACTGCAAAAAACAAGATAACAGAAATGTCAATTGTGATTTGCAATGTACAGGTCGACCTGTACAGAGTCACGGTCGACCTTATTGGACAAACGGTCGACCTAATAGGAAAAACGATCGACCACACATACTAAAAAAACGTCTTACTCGTCCCAATTCTTGTCCCCAACCTTCTCTTTAGTAACAACATAATACAAGTCTTCAATTGGATTTTGAAGATTTTTGGTGAATCCTTCTAGACCCTCCACTTTCATGACCTACAAATCATAGTTAAAATTAAAGTAACATATGAACACAAACACACATTATAGATGAATATGTAACGTAAACTTACCCCGTGCTTTTCGAAAGGACTCTTAGATTCATCTTCATCGCTATCATCACTAAATAATCCCTTTCTTACAAATTGATCCTTCTGTGGAGTGGTGTAGGAGTCACTTTCATATCGCGGTCTCTTGTAATTAGGAGAGGAACCCTTGCGGCCATTCTTTGTTTCACTCTGTCAAACATATAAACAAAACAGATTAGCACTAATGATAGTAATACTAATATCTTCAATCACATATGAATATACTTGGATACCTTTAAAATGTGCTCTTTCAATAAATCGTCTATGCTCTGGTAGCAATTTTCAGAGTCATCATGGTCTTCCTCCTCTTTACCAAAGTCAAATTTCTTTCCTTTACCATTTCTTCCGCCATTCTCCATTCGTTCTGCACTTATATCTTTGATAGCACCTTCTAGCCTCTCAAACCCGTCATGCATCATCCCAGTCATATCTGTCATTCGAACTGACAATTGCTCGACTTGTGTTTGACACACCACCAGCTTCTCTTGTGTGGCTTTCAACAATTTCATGATTTCACCCAAATCTTGATGCAGTTTCTCATCATGCGTCATCGTCTAAACAATTTAAAGAAAAATTAAAATCATAATTCAAGTACAAATTTCTACAATTGACCAAAAAACAAAGACGTGGTCGACCTGACAAAGTATTAGGTCGACCTGGAAGACAAATAGTGACTACCACAACTCGTCAGGTCGACCTATGTTATTCCTAGGTCGACCTATCCAGCAGGAAAATAACAATTACCAACAAAAAGAAAGTTCAAAATTAAACCGAAAAAAGAATAGGTCGACCAGATATCTGGCGCGGTCGACCTTTTCAAGCACAACATAGTCATACAAACAAAGCCAAAGTCGACATTCAGGTTGAATAACCAAAAAAACATATACGGTCGACCTTGAAACCCATTAGGTCGACCAATTGGGTTACCTCGCAAGTACAGAAGTCCAAGTGTTGTGGCCTAAATTCAAATACGAAGAATTGTCTCGTCAGGTCGACCTGGTTGACGTCCCGGTCGACCGAATTGAATTCTGCACCCAACAATATATCAAGTTAGCTAGTGGAAATCACGCATTAAAAAAGAAGACGGCGAATGCTACATTAGGTGGACCTCACCTTAGACCTGGTCGACCACTTCCAACACGTACAACAGCAACCGCGAACGATCTTCTTCACAAAGGCTCTAAGTCAGAAAAAAACCTAATTCAGACTTGGTGGCGTTGAAGGGGACTTATATTCGTATTTATTGAGATTTAGGACGTGAATGGGTCGACCCAATTCGTTTCCTTGTCCAATTGTGGAACCTTTCTGGTGTTGGAATCCATATCCAATACGGATACGGTGTGAAGGCGGTCGACCTCTTCATAATGCGGTCGACCTGTTAGGTGCACAAGGGTCGGCCTATGAGATATTTGGGTCGACCTTTCATTCTGTTAGACAACCAAAGCGGTCGACCGTATTAGGTAAGAGGTCGACCGCGCCTCGGAACCCCACATACATGAATTAGTCTAACCGGTCGACCGCATGTTGGATTCGGTCGACCGAAAAGTCCATGTCACGGTGACATGCATGTCACCGTAGCAAAATCCAAAATGTTATTATGTATGTATGTGTGTTTGTATAAATTGTTCATTAAAATATAACATATTTGTAAATTATTGTAAAAGTGAGTTAAAAATTTACTTAGTGAGCTTTAATAAGATATTTTTTTGGTTGAGAAAAAAGTTATATGTGTGACTCAAAGACATTAGTCTATTGTTGCGTACATCGATTCAATGCAAAAGTAAAAACAAAAATATAAAGGAAGTATTGGAAAAGAAAAATAAATATTAAAAAAGTTAGAGGTAACAAATGTAATATATGTCACTTTACATACATTATTTATTATTGTGTACATTGATATAATACAAAAAAGGATAAAAGAGAAATGAAATATTAAATGAAGAGAGAGATAGCTCCATAAATATATCAATAATTATTTTTCTTTTTGTAAAAATATTGTCCATCTTGGCAATTTGTGAACTCTCCAAGTGCTTTCTCTTTGTTTCGATCAATATATCTTATCTTTTGACAAAAAAAAAAAGAACTCTCCAAGTGCTTAGGTGGCAAACAGTTACTTTTGAATTGCCATAATATTATGTATAGATAGATAGATAGATAGATAGATAGATGATCTAGGAACAAAATGAAACCCCCAGGTCTAAAGAGTGGCCTCTATAAGCTAACTAGTTTAGTGACCGGCCGTTAGCCTGTGGTATTAGTGGTCTTCATGATGATATGTATGTCTGTTGTCAGGTTTTAATTCATTATTAGAAAAATCAAATCGATCAAGGTTTTAATTCATTGTTAGAAGAATCAAATCGATCAATGGTTAGGACAATAGAACCGTCAAATCAGTTATAATAATGGTTTGGTTTACTTTCTTGGACGTTTAATTATGGATCAAACAGTTTTTCACTGTACAACTTGAAACCAGATGAACCACCCTAGTTTGACTGGTCCATTGATTCGCTATTTTAACCATAATTAAAAAAATTAACATAAACTAAGACCATCTTAACATAATAAATTTATTTATGCTTCCTCTTCTCATTTCCCAACCTCATTGTCTGCTCTACATGGTCGACTACCAACTGTCACCCTAATTTCTAACGTGAATTAAAAGAATTATGATTTCTTTTGTGAGACGGTTGAACACTTTGTTAGATATTTTGCTGATAAATGATAAGAATTTGAAAAAATTTCATGGTCAATGATAAATTCATTCTTACATTAGTGTATCACTAATATACATGTTTTCCGTGTTATAGATCATGAACGGTTCAATCAACGGTTAACTATCGTTTAACCACTAAATCCTAAACCACTGACTCTTCCGGATCAGCATCCGACCCAATTATGAAAATAGAGCTTTATATTATAGATCATGAATAGTTCTATCAACAGCTAGCCAACGGTTTATAAAGGTGAACCACTGAACCCTAAACCACTAAATTTTTTCAGTTCAACGTTCGATCCAGTTATGAAAACATAGGTTTTATTGTATAAGTCTACCGTGAAATAGGGAGAGCCAATGAAAGTACCAAGTGGCAGGAATGATATGAAGTGAAGCATATAATATGTTTTGTTGATTGACAAGTCAACACACTTATTCCCGCTCTCTATAAACATGAGAGATAGCAACGTCCCAGTCTTTACAAAGCAAACACCGAAGGCGATCGATCAACCACAGCTGCATGATGGTGATTGGAGTCTGTCGAGCACTAGATGAGTTGAACGACACATTTGGAGTCGAGCTCCGTATGGACATGTCTATAACCCATGTCTCAAGCCAGTTGAAATCCTTCTACTCTGCCTCTCAACTCCGTCCGGGTAATAGAGCAAATCCCCAGGTTAATAGCAAATGTCGTAGGGATGGCAAAAATATTCGAAACCATGGATATCCGTCCGAATAAGACATAATCGATTAAGGTAAAACCCGAATTCAAGAGGTTTCCCGTGGGTACGGATAAAACCAGAACTCGAATATTATGGGTAATGGGTGGGCATGGTTTTCGCACTATCCAACCCGAACCCGATCGATTATGTATGCAGCTTAGGCATCCTAACAGACCGATAACCTTGTTCTTACATGACACGATCAATTCGATCATGTACTCACCATTTATTTTTATTGTTCAATTATTTGACAACGTGAAAGGACCAAAAGCTCTATCCTTCCTCTCTATCAATCAAAGGGACGGAAGGGCGGAGGCCTTTGGTGCCCTGCACTTAAGAATTACATCTATATATCAACACTGGTTTATTAAGAATACTCTATAAAAGACGAACAAGGGCTTGGCCTAGTGGTTTCACGTTATTAAGAATACCACTAGCCTAGAACTTGGAGGTTTCACGTTTGAATCCCTTAAGTAGTACCTTAATCACAAAAATGAAAACTCTATCTCCCTTATAAAAAATAAAAAAATACTCTAGAAAAGCACTTCAAGTTCTTGATTCATCGTCAGAGATGGCTTAGAACCAACAGTACATTATCTAATCGATGTTTCCGCTCGAAGACTTTATCTGAGAGTTATCAATATTTGTCAAATATGTTCCTATCTAACGGAACGCTACTGGAGGCATTCAGGGAGAACCAGCTAGCTCTGGGTTCGAGTGGCATTTCACCCCTAACCACAACTCATCCGCTGATTCTTCAACATCAGCCGGTTCGGACCTCCACTTAGTTTCACCCAAGCTTCATCCTGGTCATGGATAGATCACCCAGGTTCGGGTCCATAAGCAGTGACAATTGCCCTATGAAGACTCGCTTTCGCTATGACTCCGTTGGGGTTAAGGTTCTAAAATTTCATAATAAAAAATTTATCACCAAAATATAAATTTTATGTAATATTTTCAGCAAATAAATTAAATTTTAGTTATTAAAATTGTGAAAAAAATAAAAACATAGATACTAAACTATAATGTTCCAAGAATCTTTGAATACAACCAGTGAATCCGCCAATCCTCCATTTATCAAAAAATTCAATTCATTTAATTAAATCCAATTCATTAGTGTGTAATAAATTAAATTCAAATCGCATCATCTACTTAGCATGTAGTAGTCATTAAGAACTTTGCTATGATGTTTCTCTTTTTATCTCTAGAACCCTTTGTGGTTTTCCTCTCCGAACCCTCAATTGATTCACTCTCAGAATCCTTGATCGGGTCCATTAAAGCTCCAGAATCTACTCCTATCTTCCCAACCATTCACTTCAAAGCTAAGATTTGGAGTCAAAACTATTATAATATTACTTGCGATACATACTCCAAAATTGAGAAAAGCATATAGAGAGAGAAGATCTGGGAGCTGCCAGATCCAAGAAAGCATCAACATCCATTGCTCATCTTATACGAGCAAGGAACAGGCGCCCATGTTATCAAATTCACGCAACGAAGAACATGAATAAAATCTAGGAATAGGGCAGAATTAAAGTGCAATCTCACACCTTGGAGAAGGCTCTATCAATATAAGGATAGAATCTCGACCATAATCAAGGGAAAAACTCAATTGATACAGAGAAAAATTCATAAGCCTAAAGCTCAATGAACCAAAATAAACTCAATATTCTTCCATGTCTTTAATGCCTGACCTAAAACTCGAGTTTACGCCTTTATGCAAGCCAAAGAAGCAAAATCAAATAAAAAACCTGAAAAAGAAAAGAATTTAAATACATAAGGTAATTTTAACCAGTTAGTCGCTATTCCACGGTGTGTCTTCCTTTTCCACGGTCGTGCAATTGATGTCCTTGGTCGGTTAACTCTTCTGTTCCAATCCATGGTCTAGCCTTATGTTCCACGATCATGGAATTAACTTCCATGACTGTGAATTTTGAACTGGTCACCATACAATCTTCAGTCTTCATCTTGGAAGATAATCGATGGGAGTTTGGAGTTGGACATCAAATTATGAGTTCAATTTAAGATCGTGAAGACGTTAGCCGAGAAGATTGAATCTTCCTGGTCACCATACGGTCTTCACGATCTTTAATTGAACTCATAATTTGATGTCCAACTCCAAACTCCCATCGATTATCTTCCAAGATGAAAATACAAGCCTCCAAAGTAGGTACCATCATACTATTTTCACACAGCCATTTTCAGCTCATCATTCCTCCGCGAATTAATCACCATTTTGAATGCTTGGGAATTGACATTATTGATGGCTAGCTTGCTCACATCAGTCTCTTCCCCTTGGAAAAGCTTTTCCCTCAAAGCTTGTGGGCTTCTGCAAGAAATTCATCATTACAATAGTTGTCAAAAAGATAGAGATAAGCCATCTGCTCTTTTTCCACCGTGATCATCTCGTAGAAATCTTCATCTTCCTTCTGCGGTTCTGGACAGTTGGTCGACGATTCAATCCCTTCGAGTTTCTTTTGCTCTAGAGTGCCTAGTGTTGGAGAAACCACTTTGTTGCCTTCAAGAAACTCGCCAGAAGCAGTGGTCTCATCGAATCGTCTTTTAACTCGACATCGACTTCATAAGAACTCAAACTTTGTTGCTCCACCGAAGGACAAGGGTGGTTATCCCTGGTGGGCTTCTCGTCATCCAATTACAGATGAATCTTGTCGAATTGAACTTAGAAGGTTGCATTAAATTGCACCGTGATGCACTGTGATAGTTGGTGTTGTGAAAGCCGAGCCGGTCGAACCGGTAAAATTGGGAGCCAGCCTCCAGATCAGCTCAGATGAGAGGAAAAGCCACCACTTAAAGGTCGGTCCGCCGACAACCGGTCGAAACGATTAACCTTCTGAACCGCTTGAATCGTTCGTCAGGTTCTCAGTATCGCCGCCCCAACCACTAGTTCAAAAGCTCTCATATCGCCCACGACCCCAGCTGCCAGCGCTCTAGGCCTTCCCTGACGCCATTCTCATTGTGCATGCCCCCCTGCAAACTAGACGAGCTGCTGCTTCTACTTAATCGAATCCAAGATTTCTACCCTACCCCTCTATCTCCCATTCGATACGCTTTCCCCTCCAGGCTTTGCCACTGCAAATTGGTATCACCCACCACAAAGCCAAAGCGCAATATGGATATATGGATTTGTGTTTCAGAAAGACAATATTGTTTGGTGGAATCAGAGGGAGAAGAGAAAGAAAGGAGATAAATGAGGATGGAAGTGATAGAGAGAGGTGTGAATGCTGCTCAACTTGTATTGTTCTCATTAATCAAAGCTATTTATAGTACAAGTAATAACCAACATGCTCAATTACAGGAGGGATTTGCAACGGTGGGTTGCTGAAGTTCAGGAACAGAAACAGAGTGAAGGAAGGAGGGAAACAGAGTGAGAGACGTGGGTTGTTAGCCCAGGTGTATCTGTTATCACGCCCCCGCAAGTGTAGCCGGGGAGAGGCGGAACTTGTCACAGAATTTGGTAAAGGAAATGCGTGGCAGTGGCTTGGTGAGAACGTCGGCCAACTGGTCGTGTGCAGGAAGGTAGTGAACACGAAGTTGTTGCTTTGCGACGCGATCACGAACAAAATGGAATTCGATCTCCATATGTTTGGATCGATGATGAAAGACCGGATTGTGTGCTAGGAAGGTGGCACCAAGATTATCACACCATAGTACGGGAGACTGTTGTAGAGGGTGACCAAGTTCTGTGAGCAGAGATTGTATCCAGATGACTTCAGAAGCGACAGTGGCGAGAGCACGATATTCGCACTCCGTAGAAGATCGAGCGACTGACTGCTGTTTGCGGGTAGACCAGGAGATAAGATTGGATCCGTAGAAGACTGCAAACCCGGTGATGGATTTGCGATCTTGAGGACAAGATGCCCAAGACGCGTCGGAGTAGCCGTGAAGTGTGGATGTGGTAGAACGGCTGATGCAGAGACCGCGATTGAGTGTACCTTGTAGGTAGCGGAGAATGCGTTTGACTGCAGCCCAGTGGGTGTCGGTGGGAGCATGTTGATATTGAGAAACATGATTGACGGCGAATGATATGTCGGGGCGGGTGAAGCTGAGATACTGGAGGCCGCCGACAATGCCGCGATAGAGACTCGGATCGGCGAACTTTGGTGAAGTGTCAAGAGCACTAGTGGTCACAATATCAACTGTAGAGGGTGTGGAGATGGAGTTGGCGTCCTCCATATGAGCACGCTGCAGCAACTCTAGAATGAATTTGCGCTGACTTAGAGTGATGCCAGTGGACTGCCGCTGAACTTGGATGCCGAGGAAGTAGGCCAGGGGACCAAGATCGCGGAGAGCAAAGTGTTGATGGAGGTGTGACAGTAGACGGTCGAGGAGAGACTGATCAGATCCTGTAATCACAATATCATCAACATACACAAGCATGTAAAGGTAAGAACCGCCAGAGTTGTAGATGAACAGGCAGGGATCAGTCTTGGAGGCAGCTAGACCGAAGCCGTGAAGAGCCTGAGCGAGGCAGCGAAACCAGGTTCGTGGGGCTTGGCGGAGCCCGTAAATGGACTTGTTGAGGCGGCAGACATGATCTGGAAATTGGGGATCGACGAAACCAGCAGGCTGTGTCATGTATACTTCTTCAGTTAATTTGCCGTGGAGGAAGGCGTTGGAGATGTCCAGCTGATGGAGCGGCCACCCATGAGTGACTGCAAGTCCAAGCACAAGACGGAGAGTGGCTGGTTTTAACACCGGACTGTAGGTCTGGGAGAAATCAAGGCCGGGAATCTGTTGGAAGCCCCGAGCGACGAGGCGCGCTTTGTGCCTCTCAAGGGTGCCATCGGGATTAAGTTTGTTGTGCCAAATCCATTTGTTGGTGATGAGATTGCAGTTGGGAGGCCGCGGAACCAGATCCCAAGTCTTGTTGCGGAGAAGAGCGTCACGTTCCTGTTGCATAGCGGCATTCCAGTGGGAAATTTTGAGAGCTTGGGCGACAGAGGTGGGCTCGTCGTCGATGATGGCAGCATATGTTTTGGGTTTGAGATGCCCTGTTTTGCCACGAGTGATAATTGGACTGCGGGTGGGTTGGGTAGAGGGACGAGGGGAGGTAGTGAATCGGGGTCGAGGTGGGATGGGTTTTGGTGGAGGTAATTTGGTGGACGAAGACGGGACGGCGGAGGAAGATGGGGGAGAAGCAGTGGTGGCAGGGGGGTCATTGTTTGGCAGAGGAGGGGAGGGATTGAGGGCTGAAGCGTCTGTGGAGAGGGGAACAATGGGAGTGGGCTGGTGGGGAGAGGAAGAGGAAGTGGGCCGAGGCCCAGTAGGAGGGGCCAATTGGGTGACGTGAGAAGGTGGGGAGGGGTTTGGGTTGGGGTGTGAGGAAAATGGGTCGGGTGTAGGATATGGTAGGGATATTGGTGGGCTGGAATGGTATGTTGCAGTGGAGGTAGATTCCAGTGGGGAATTTTGAGAGCTTGGGCGACAGAGGTGGGCTCGTCGTCGATGATGGCAGCATATGTTTTGGGTTTGATTACCCTGTTTTGCCACGAGTGATAATTGGACTGCGGGTGGGTTGGGTAGAGGGACGAGGGGAGGTAGTGAATCGGGGTCGAGGTGGGATGGGTTTTGGTGGAGGTAATTTGGTGGACGAAGACGGGACGGCGGAGGAAGATGGGGGAGAAGCAGTGGTGGCAGGGGGGTCGTTGTTTGGCGGAGGAGGGGAGGGATTGAGGGGTTAAGCGTCTGTGGAGAGGGGAACAATGGGAGTGGGCTGTTGTGGAGTGGGCTGGTGGGGAGAGGAAGAGGAAGTGGGCCGAGGCCCAGT